CCCGTCAGGGGGGGCCTCCCCCCCCCCCCCCCCCCAACCCCCCCCCCCACCCCCCCCCCCTTTCACCCACACACCCACCAACCGCCGCCTAAGGCCGCGTCCCAGACTCCTCCCGACACGCTCCGTGTAGGCACGACGCGTTCGTCGCGACGATGGACGCGTCCATCACCCCGCCCCTCGACGGCAGCTACGCCTTCGCGCTCGACTGCGGCCGGCTGCACTCTCCGCGCTTTTGCGAGGCGGCGCTCATCTTGGGCGGCGACGACGGCGACGCGACCGCTGAGGTGATCGACCTAGCGGCCGGCCCTTCGCCGCCCGTCGAGCTCTCCGCGGGCCGGCGGTACGAGCTGCGCCTCCGCTTCGCGCACGTCGAGCACGGCGAGCGGCTTCGCCTCGCCGTCAACGTCACCCGGCGCGTCACCGCCGACCAGCACCACTCGCCGACGGTGGCGCTCTGGGCGATGCCCGCGTCGTGGCTCTCGCCCGCCGGCCTCTCGGAGCCGCCCTCGGGGGCGCTGCCTCCGCCACCCGGCCGCGTTCGCCTGGCCACGCGCGGTGCAGTGGCCGACTGCCGCGCCGCCGACGGGTGCGGCTTCTCTCTCTCAAGCGCCGACACTCCCGTCCTGAGCGGCTGCTGGGTCGAGGCGGCGGAGAATGCAAGCCTCGCCCGCCCCGGCCGCATCCCGCTGACCGACCGTCTGCCCGCCACTCTGGAAGCGGGGACGACCATCGCCTGCGAGGGGACGGGGCTCCACCTCACCCACGCGGCGCTGCACCCGCCGGCGGGGGGCACGGCCGCACGCCACGACCCTCCGCTCCTCTTCGCCGGCGAAGCCGAGCTCTGCCGCACCGCCGCCACCGCTGCAGACGGGAAGGAGGTGAGGTGCACTGTGGGCGCCGTGAGCGCCGCGGGCGCCGCGGGAGGTGTCGGCGCGCCGCCGGCGCCGCAGCCACTCCGGCTGTGGACGAGCGGCGGCGGCTGGGCCTCGTCGCACCGGGCGCTCTACGTGCTTCCCGAGGCGGCGCCAGCCAAGCCTGGCCCGGTGGAGCGCCGCGCGACCGGCCGCGCGGGTCGGCGGCTCCAGTCGAGCATGGGCTGCACCGCCAGCAAC